AGGGTGTTATTACCCGGTAACCAGGAAGCAACCGCCGGTGACCGGCGTCACAGCCCGCTCCTCGCGAGCGACGCTCTCGCCCTGCGACGGGAGCGCGGGGGGGACACCAGCTCCCTCCTCCCTCCACGCTCCGGCGGCAGCAGCAGCAGCAGCAGCAGCAGCATCCCCAGACCCCACACAGCTCCTGCAGCATCCCCAGACCCCACACAGCTCCTGCAGCATCCCCAGACCCCGCAGCAGCTCCCGCAGCCCCTTCCGGGCTGATTAAAATTTACTGTCACCATTAAGGGACACAGACGCAAATGTCACACGCAAGGCACCCCTCGTAATGGCTTTAAGGCAGGCTGGAGAGGAGTCACCCGAAACGCAGAGCATTCCTCTTGCTTTTTAGTAATTACCCTCGCAGGAAGAATACCACTACCTAAAGCAAGTCTGCGGTAATTCCTGTCACCTTCCTCCTGACCCCTTCTCCTGTTTAAAATTTCTGGCTCGCTTTGCGGGGAGGAAAAACGAGAGCGGCTCATTAAGGGAGGTACAAAGGATTAAGGACGGCAGGTTGGGCTGGAGCCCGCCCGGCAATCAAAACAGGGCTTTGTAGTCAGCAGCGGGTTCCTGCTGTCTCAATTACGTCTGCGGAGCCCTCCCCGCGCCGCACAGCTCTGCTGTGGGGAGACTCTTCTTTGTGCCTTATTGGCTGCGCGCGGTGGCACCGGGAGAGCAGTTTCCTTGACAACATTTGCCTTTTTTTTTTAATAGCATTTCTTCTTTTTCTTTTTTTTTTTTCCCCTTGCCCCGCTCCATGGCTGCAAGACCAGGCCTAACTTTGAATCCCCGTTGCAAAGACACCATGAATACGAATTAGGGGTACAGGAAAAAGGAGCACCCCAAAAGCCCATCCCACACAGCTTCCAGTGCCACCAGTGCCGGAGGAGCTCGAGGAACAGTTGGGAAGAGAGTGATTATCATTGAGTTGTGCATTATGCAGATCTTCCTCCAGATTTGTTTGGTGGTTTGTGTTTTTTTTCTAGCAGCCTGAAAACATTTTTTTACTCCTCATTTTGTTTTCAGTGTCGAGGGAGGGGAGAAGGGAAGAAATCTATGGTTTGTACCCACCACTTGTACCCAGCCCATCACCAGTTCTCCCAGCACAGGTCACACAGGGACAATACACTCCAGCTGATCCTCCAACAGACCCACCAGCCCCCTCCATGCCCATGGAATTCATCAGATCTGCATTTTTACCTCCCCCTGCACTTGCTCTGGCAGCGGGAGACCCACTGACTCGCTCACGGCCCTCAGGCAACAGAAATCAAAAAGCATGGCTCTCCCTGCCAGACGCTGGAGGACGGGATGGAAGCGTTCTTGCAGGAACATATCGATCCCATCAGAGCTCTCTAAAAAAGCAGGAGGCTCTGCCTGCACTCCCAGGCAGCAGGGCTGAGCAGCAGCGATGTCAAAAAACTGCTGCTATTTTAACATTTGCCCCCTCCTCCCCCCAAACCCCTCTGTGCCAGCCTGACGGGTTCTGCTGCCCTTTTCCTAAGGAAAATTTCTGATTTGAGTCCTAAAGCCGTTTACATATTCCACGCGAGAACGTCCTCTTCCCTTCCTTTAGTGTTGGAAATTGAAATTTGAAATTGAAATGGCAATAAATCACAGAGCAGCAGAGGAGCCAGCCCGCACACAGAATTATCTGCAGCAGAAGGCACCCTGCAGCACCGAGTCCAGTCAGTCGGAATAACCAGCTCAGCAAGACCCTGCCACCCAGCACGATAACGATCCCGCAGCCCTCCGGATAACGACGAGGACAACAAAACCCAGAAACAAAACAGTAGCCCAGGAAGGTCACAAGCCCCACGCGCACGGCCTTGCCAAAGACAACCCAAGGGCTTTCAGAATATTATTCCAGGCCGGGGTTCACGCTGTGCTCCCTCCGTTCTCCACAAAACACCACAGGTGGTGGTAGCCCCAGCCTCCCCGGGAGCAGGGGGCCCTTTCACAACATCCCACCCCCCAACTGCATCCCCTCGGGGTGCTTGGCAGTGAGAGAACTGTCTCAGCAAAGGGCTCTGGCCATCAGCATTCAGCCCTGCTTCCAGCAGAGGAACCACAGAGGGTGTCCCACATCCCGGGAGCAGACCCTCGACTTTGCACAGCCCTAAAGGAGTCACGTTATTACTCGGTGCTTCTGGTTTCCCTTTGCTGGACAGAGAAGAAGCGATTCCTTACCTGGTTCTTTTCCCCCCCTGGAGCTCTTCCAATCCATCCATAGATTCAGATCAGGGACCTTCCCCGCCGTTGGCTCCCGGTGTCCCTCGTTTCTCTCCATCTAGAGTTAAGCCCTGTAAGAAAGGGCACAGACACCACCTCAAGCTCAGCCATCTCCTGCCCCAGCCACCCCCAAAACCAAGCAGCTTCTCCAGCAGCCTCTAAATCTCACCCACCGCTGTTTCTTCAAGAGGCAAGCTCCTCGCCAGCCACACCACGACCCCCACAGAGCCCTTGGGGGCTCGATTACTGGGTTCAACATCCCCAAAATGAGGATCTCAGCAGTCCAAAGAGAAGTGCAAACGCCCAGGAAGGAGAGTTCCCATCCTGGGTGCTGCAACTGCACCAACCAACGACTTTGCCAGCCAGTAACTTTGTGAAATAGCCTCATTTTCTCTTCGATGTCATCCCACCAGTCAGCAGCAGCAGGATCTAGACTTAAGTGTTTATGGCAGGAAAAACAAACAAGATGTCACTTACATCACTTCACTCATTGAGGATGGCGATTAAGTCCTGATGAAACAAGTCGTCAGAACAAGGGAAGCTCCTAAGATTTAGCTCCATGCCTCTGGGTTTGGTTTTTGCCCAAGAGGGATACAAATATTTAACACAAGACCATCAGGGTAACGATGTCTACGCAGCCCTCGGGCAGCCTGAAGCCAAAGATGTTCCAGAGAAACCTGTGAAAAGCGTTACCCCTTGTGGGCGGTTGGGACTCAGTCACATGGATCTGCCTCACAACAGGTTTGAGAGCAGCCCCAACACCTTACTTCACACCTCTTTACTGACAAAAAGCTATTCTTCACCTCCCCAGAAAAACATCTACCTACACCCCTCCGCGGAGTTCATTTCCGAGCATTCAGAATAAGTTAAATGATTTATAATCTTTCAGTTAAAAGAACATACACAGTTCTAGAAGCTCAAACTGTGATTCCTGCAGTTTCCTTCCCCGTGCAGTCACTCCACTCCTCTTATCGTCAATTGCTCCAAAAGTAGCATCTTAAGTGATATAAACATGCGTGTGATTAAGTGTTATCTCCAGTTAGAGCATCAGTATCTGAAGGTGCCTAGATGTTCATGAAAAAAAATTAACAAGAGAAACAAGTACCTCATATCACACAGGAGTATCTCAGTTCCAGTAAAGCACACAGTATTTTTTCTACTGAGTAGCCTTTGATTAGCAAAACATTTCAGGGATTTTTAGGGACCTAACAGGAGGGTAACCAAAAAGGTAGAAAAACTTCAAAAAATAAACAAAGCGAGAGTTTGGTGTTAAAAAAAACTAAACAAAACAAACAACAAAAGCTACACAAATACAAAGAGGAGAAGGAGCCTCCCAGTTACTGCTGCCAGCCCCCCAGTCAGTGGTTTATTATCTCATTGCCAACAGGGACTAAAAAATTTGTTCTAGTTACACTAGGGGGAAAAATCTGATAAATATTAGAAACACGACACCGATTTGCAAGTAACATATTTCTTTGATGGCAGCAAAGCAAAGCTGATTGCATTGTTATCTGTGAAGCCCAGAAAATAGCACCTTAGTATTATTTAAATAAATTACACAGCTGAAGGCAGCGGCATTCCACCAGCAAGGAAGGGGAACTGACTGGGATCCAGGACTCCAGAAACTCGCTCATTGTTCCCCAAAAACAATACTCCCATTCAGGCCCTGCCAGGTGGGACGGTGTCTAGTCTTGTCCAGGGCACAAGAGAAAGTTTTGCAAGAGAACTTTTGGAGAGTTCCTGGGAAAGTTCAGAGCCCTTGTTTAGTTTGGGGCTGGGGGGGGTGTTTTGTTTGTTTAAAGGTAAGTCTAGACTTTTATAAAATGGGTAATTTAAAAGTAAGAAAAAGGTCCCTTTTTTTGCGGCGCTGCTCCAAGGTAGAACCTTTCCCACCAGCAGCTCCAAGCCATGATCAAGCATCCAAGGGGCACAGACAAACCCATACCAAGGCCTTCACAAATCCGAGCAAAAGAAGAGCATTTAAAGGTGAATGAGCTGCAATAAATTCATCAGGAGGCAGAGGGAAGACATTTTACTGCAAGAACTTTATTGCACTACGTTCAAGTGCTGAACCGAGCGTGGTGCCTCATCGGCCACAGCCCCGCGCCCTCCCGCTCGTGGCTACACTGGGTGAAGTCTGCACTTTTCACTCTTTTTCCTCAATTAAGGCTGCAGAGTCATAGTGTATGAAATTAGTACATTATAAAATCAGAGTCAAACTAGGGGGAAGAATGCAAAGTTATACATAGAGCACGTAAAAGTTTCTTTTTATTGTTCTTCAGAAGGGCTTGGGGTTTGGTTTTTAATTCAGCCCGACACCTTCCCCTCCAGCCTGACTTCCACCATCTCTCAAATCGACTTTAGCTACCAGTACTTCGTTTTACTAAAAACATCAATTTTCATTCACAGAAACAGTTAGAACATTAGGCTTCTAGTTTGCCAGGGGAAACTAAAGGCCAGGATCAGGTAATTTCAGCATCATCTACCTTCCACCCGGACTCAAACGTTACCAGATCCCTTATTTCCCTAATGTAGGCATCAACATCACAAACACTTTCACGTCTCCTTTATCTATGAAAGAAATGAGAAACGTTACACATTTTAGAGGGAGGCAGGGACTCAGCACAGCGCTACAGCTCGAGGCAGGGGACAGACCGGGTGTCGTGGAGCGCAGCGTTGCCTGTTGGCGTATCTGCAAAGTGAGGGGCTTGACAAGTACCGTGATTTTCTTTTTTTTTTGCTTAAATTTACAAATCCCTTCCAGGAATAAAATTCTAAAAGTCCATTACTTCGGTTCTGAAAAGGTTTGCGTGGTTTAAGCTGCAGACTGAAACCAGAAATCCAGAAGAGGAAGAAATCCTGCAAAGGCAGGTCGCATCGGCAGCAGCTGAGGGACCGGCCTACACCCGCCCCAGGCACGGACCAACACCAGCCTTCGGTGCTCCACGGCCAAAGATCACAGGGGAAAATGACCCTAAACCGGTATTCAAAGCCTTCAGCAGCTGAATATTACAGACATAACGTCAAGTTGAAAGCATGAGGTCACTACCAGGGCAGGGCACTAAGTTAAGATGTGTTTGGTAGAAGTAACCTGGCTGAAACTGCTTATTAGAGGCTGGAAAATGAGTTGTCTTGATTAATTCGCTGACAACACCAGTGGCCCCGCAAAGAGAACATGTTGCCAGTCCACACTCCAAAAAATCAGTGTATTTATGGTCTGCTGATGGTGAAGAGATGATAGGCGTGTTGGTGTGTAACTAGAGATTCACCCTCCAAAAGAGCCCAATAAAAAATACCAAGGCAATCGGTGGTTAAACTGGACTGTACACGAGGGTCAGGCTGGGAAAACACCCAGACGGGGCTTTTATTCATGGACCGCGTTTCTGTGCGTGACCATCCTGACCTCACGGATGAGACAAATGAGACCTTCCTCCCAAATCCTGATTTACTGCCTTCAGCAAGGCAGAGAGCCTGGAGAGCAGCAAAAAGCGTTTTCTTCTTCCTTATGACAGATAAAATTAATTCTAGGTCCTCGTCTGCATTGCCCTTTTCTCACCTAGGACACTTTTGAACATCAGTCTTCTGTTGAGATAGATTTTTCTATCTGACAACAGAGAGACAATGACCATTTCAGCCAAATTCTTTGGAAAAATAAGATTGTGACACACTCACACATAGAATAACCCACACGTGCATATACACACACACACACTTAAAAGCACTACCTCCCATCAATCAGAAAAGGCCTTTAGCAGATTCACCAAGGATTTTAGGCAGTGAGTCTTTCCATAAAGCCCACCAGGAAGTTTTTTCACACCTGCAGAGCATGAACACCAGGGAGACAAACACCACAGACATCACTGAATCTCTAGAATATGCCCGGGGTGGGCTTAAGGCCGTCAGGCTGCTCCCATACAGCAACAAAGGCTCCTCCGCACCTCTGTCTGCCAGCTCCCAGCAAGGATTTTTTAAAAAAAGAAAAAAAAAAGGCAACTCCATTTACAAGAGTCCCACAGGAATTACTGTATCAGGCTCTAACTGTGGGGTGCTTTCCTCAAATCAAGAAAATAGTTTCTGCACAAGCCAATGCTCTGCTGGTTTTCCTTAGACATAAAATTTACTTTATTTCTTTTCTTAAAAAGTTAAAAATACAGAAGGTTCAGAAACTCATTTTCTCCTTGCAGATGTTCAAACTGCAGCTTAAGGAGAAAACAATCCTTCACTGAAATGTTTCTCTTAAAATTATTTTTATTTTTATTTTGCTTTTTTTTCAATCATCACCACCATTAGGACAGAGGTTGAGAAGCACTGACTCCACCACTAATTTGATGACGTAGTTTCATTCCAGATTCACATTTCCAGGTGCCAAGAGTCCAGAAAACAGCCATGCTAACTTCTGCCTTCGTTTGAGATTTATTTTGGTTTTGTTTTTTTTCTATTGAACACAGCAGTGACCGTTGGCATCTTTGAAGCGTAATCGCATCTTAGGTCGGTATTTCTCAAGGTAAAGCAGCTGTTTGGAATTGAAAGCTCCCCTCCTTTTCCTAAAACAAAGAGAATGAAGGCTAGTATCAATGGGAGAAGTACTGCTTCAATCACCATACACATTCTAAGGCAGATTAGTTCTCCTTTCAAAGCTTTTTTTTTTTTTTTTAAATGTATCAACAAAGCAGGATTTTGGCTTGGTTCCGTATCCGTTGCCACTCTGAGGAAGGCCAAACCAGAGCAGCACACGCAGTTCTTCACCCACGTGCCAATATTAAAATCAAAATCCACTTGACGTATTTCAACATATTTTGCTTGGGCTGGGAGAGTTTATTTCCATCACCAGCAGCAGGCACTGAGCAACAGCAAGGTCACCCTTTCCTTGCAGATGTGTGTGCTATTTCTATGTTTCTATCTGAATGTCATGGTCTTACTTAGCTAATATAATAAGAGGTTCTCAGAAAAGAGCTTCTCCGTATAAAAGGTACTGTACCAGGAAGAGAAAAAGGGAATTTAAGAAAGGAAAAATTCAGAAAAATCTGTTGACAGCAACACAGGTTGCAAAGATAACTGAAGACCCTGGGAATCCATAAAAGGATGAATTGCTTTTTTGGCAAAGCTCATTCAACATAATCTTACCTGCTGGGCTTCATTTCAAGGTCTGATGTTATCACTGAACCAACAGAGCTCAGCAGTCTCATCCTTCACCAGTTTTTGTTATTTTCCAGCCAGGGAGGTTGCTGACATTCCCTGGGTGGGGAATGCACTCACCCACAGCACCTGCAGGAGTTGCTGGTGCTCACCTACTGCTGTACAAATTCTGCCTGGGGGTCCAACCTCAATGGAATTTTATTTTTTTTTCGTCTAGTTAGGAGCAATTAGTCCATGTTCAATTAATCCATAATTTTTTATAGCCCCAGCCTAGCCATTTTTTCCTCCCAAGTTCAACATCTTTGGGTCTTAGGTCAATAGTTTAATATACAAGTCCAGATTTAAAACCTCAGTGTTAATGTCAAAGTCATACCCGTTATCGTCAAGATATAACCTCTAGAAAACACGTCAGAAATTTACCAAACTCTGCTGAAGATGCATGATATTCAAACACAACAAAGTGAGAGATTTCTTGAGAATGGGGAAAAGTTTAACTTACTGCCTTATAAACTGAACTGCATCTTCATACTTCATTCCACATTCAATGAGAGCAAGTGCAACCAGTACAGGAGCCCTAAAGGAGAAATCAATATTTAAGGGAAGATCTAGAGAAACAATATATTGAACCTCTCAAAGCACATCAAATTAATCTATAAACAGATAGCTTAAGTATTTTCTGTTTTTATCTACAGAAAGACATTTGCCTGCTGAGTACTTAATGTAAAATTTCTCTTAGTAGACAGCTCTGCTTCCAGCACACACACAAAAATAAAAATCAATAGCTCTTCAGCGTTTGGGTCACGAAACCATAATTCTAGATTTTTACGCTTCCTCATTTCACTATAACCTAATTTTCTGCTTTGCTAAAACAAGTGTGTAATACCTCCTGCATGCATTTTGCTTCTTATGACACTTCAGATTTAGCTGTACATGAGACAGATCTATGAAGCAGTGAACAGATTACTTAGATTTCTTTTTCTTTATTTATATGCTGTACGTGGAACTGGGTGTTTCAGGGACAAGAAAGTAAAATTTTCTAATTCGGGCACCACATTTTGGAAATTGGTTAAGTGTAAAGAGCTGGCTTTTCAAACAAGTGGAAATCACAGCACACACTGACTTTCTCCTGATGTTCACCCCATAAACACAGACCAGTGCACCAGGCACCTCTGAGGGTAGAGGAGGGAAGGACTAAGCAGGTGGTAGCAACTAGAAAAGCGGTATTCATGGCTAAACAAAAACATTGTTCAGAAGAAACAACTCTCACTATCACTGCCACCTGCATAAACAGAATTATTCACTTTCCAAAGGAAACTATTTGAAACTTTAAAAGTGACTTTAACAACAACAAAAAGAAGCTGCCATTTTGCTATAATTGAAGTTCAATTCCCCGCTACAGGTAGACAGTTCTCCAGATTAAAGCAAAATCTGTAAAGCTCTTGTTGTTCCCTCTGCCAGAAGCAGTTCTGAGAACAGCAGCAAAAAGGTCACACTGTAAGGCATGGAGAGGAGTTGTGACATACAGAAGGTGGGAAGTTCTGGTACCCTTTGGCCTGGTGTTATGCAAGAAATGGGAGAGTTGAAAAATCCCTTCAGTTACACGTGGCCACCTTCCTAAAGTTGCTCCTCAGATAAAAATAGAGCAGAAACAGATAAACAGATGTAAATTGCCTTGGGTTTTTGGCTCTCTTTAAATATTGCCTGTTTCTCCCTCTACCTCTTAATTTCCCCCATCTCTTCTCCAGAGGTGGAAATTTAAGAGCTTGATGCACTCCAACTCTGTGCTTACTTGACTTCTGTAATCCACCTTTTTTGCCCACTTAACAGTCCCCTGGTTATTGTAAGAATGAACAATTAAGCTCCATTTCCTTCTAGCCCATAGGATATAACGTTCAGAGCTGACAGTTGGGAATACAAATGCCACATTTAGCTTTCCCCAATCAGTCATCTCTTTATTTCATTTCGAAAGGAAGTTCTTCCCAAAGAAGGAACTTACATTTTGAACGCTGAGAAGAGAAACATCAGTCGGCGAGGAAGCAAGAAATACAAACCTAACTCTTCTTACCACCACAGTGAAGCCACTTTACTGTAAGAAAGTGACCTGAACCAGTTTTTCTAATTTTTTTATTTCCACATGCTTAATAGTATTATCAGTTAAAAAACAGGAGGAAATTAAAAAGAAATTCAACTGTACAGCCTTAGAAATTGTACTATCCGTGTATATTGCATTTGTCAAGAAGCACAAGAGATTTTACTGTTTTTGCAGAAAGATATAAACTTTGAAATGAATAGCATCTCTAATGACTCGTGTCGTTCACACCTGACAGAAGTGCTCTGAACAATCTCTCCAAGTTCTTCCTCTCATCCTCGATCAGAGTTAAGAAGTTACTGGAGATTTTTAAGCAGTAATAAGTCTCTCTTGCTTTAATGACATAACTTGATGATGACATAAACTTGATGATGCTGCTTTAAAGTGTTATTTGGGAGAAAAATAGAGGAATCGGCATGTACTTAACACCTTCCAGACCTGCCTCCCAAACAAACTGACATTAAGTGGAGTATAAAAAGCAGAGTGAACACCAACCTTCCCAACCCTGCAACACAGTGAACAGCGACACAGCATCCAGGCTCTTCACGGAATTTGGTTTTCAACAGGTTTAGCCAGTCATCAACTATCTGATTCGGGGGTGGTGCTCCATCATCAAATGGCCAGTCCTTTGAAGGGGAAAAAAAAAAAAAAAAAAAAGGACATTAGCTACATGGATTTTAACCCATAACCAACAGCAAGGTCACCAGAACTGGGAGAAGCAAAATATTCCATTCAGAAAGATGTGTGTATCACACAAACGGTTCTGTGAGTATTTTTCTGGTTGTATAGAAGTTTGAAAGTCAATATTGTAATGCAACACTAAGTGTTTAACAATCATTTAATTGCACTTTTCAATAAAATTTCAATAAAACTCTACACTAACTCCTTTGCAGTATAGAATTTTTAGAAAAATAGCTGCCCTTGAAATATCATTTTATTAAAAATACATAAAAATCAATATACATTTCAAATAAACACTTGAAAGATGAGAACTCTGTAGACTTTTGCTTGTAGTTGTGTCAACCTTTTAAAATACTATCTGTACTGCAGGCTCTGTACAGAGGAGAAGCTACTTCATAACAACTCAAATGGATCAGCTTGTCCAGCTGCCACGAATCCAATAAGCCAGACAGCTAAAATTAGCTGAGTATTTTCAAGTCAAAAACCCACATTCACAAAAGAAAATAAAACAGAAAAGCCCTTAGACAAAGTCAACAACTAAGCAGCATTTACATTTCTGGCTTATTAAAGGGGAAGCCAACATTTCAACCACTTGGGCCGCATTTAATATCATCAACGTGGCCGTCAATCAAAATTACATGTCAGAAGCTTCCCATTTCCCTGAGGTCACAGCTGGAACTCGTGCGAAGCAGAGTACTACACGTCCTGCATTTCAGGACCAAGCACAACATCACATGCTTTATAATCTTCTCAAGACACGGGGAGCGCTGTAGAAAGAGCACTCCTAGATGCTAGGGGGGAAAAAACACCAACCTAATACTTAGTAGTTATTTAGTGCTTTTCATTAGATGACTGCAATGCATTTTACAAGTGAGACTCACAGCCAGAGTTTCATATTATTCAACAACCTCTCCAAATGGTGGGGAAATTGCTTTGAAAGGAGTTCTCTTCTCCCCTCATTGGCCAGAAACAAGTCTTTCATGTAGTATCTTGAGAACAGGTTAATACCAAGTAATACTCTCTGAAGCTTGAAAGGAGGAGGCAGAAACTCTGAACAAGTACAACCGCCAGACTTTTCATTTTGAAATGCATTTATTGCTACCCTGACACCTCCTGAATAGCAAGTACAGCTTCACACAGACCTCAGCCCGAGAGCACCTTAGAAACGTGTTAGCGCTTACGAAAAGCTGCAAGGTGCAAAAACCTGTGGCTCAGAACTACAAAACCAAAAAGCTTTACATTACTGAAATAACTTTATATGTGCTTAATTCAGAAAGATACACAAAATCTGAAGAGTGCCGAGAACTCTTCTTTTTTTAAAGCAAACGGGAAATTAAAAATCTGGGACAACAAAGCAAAATAAAAGTCTATAGAAACAAAATCATAAAGTAAAACTTGCTCTTTCTAATAAAAGGCTTTTATGAGGTTTTCCACTCAATCACACGCTGCCAGCTATATTATTTTAGGCCTAGTGTCATCTACTGTCCCAGGAAGAGATGAGCTGCCAAGAGAAGAGGCTTTATCCACTGCAAGATGCTTTCTTTTGAAACTGCCTTGCAAAGAACAGGATTTACATGTCGGTTCTGTGTCCTAGTTTTAGGTAAAACTAAATCCTTTCCTTCAGAGAAGACACAGGAGCTCGCTACGTTGCTTTAGCTCACGTGTTCACCATCACGTCCACACAACCCTAGTGCTGGCCTGAATGAATCACGACCTTCGGTTCCCCACAGATCACCCCCTTCCTGGGAAGGTACACCAACATTAAATTAGCGCTGATAAAACACTGCTGCAGAGGACACTGCCCAGAATGAGGAACAAGAATAATTCTGGGACTGGAGGAGTAACTGCAGCCAAGTTTTGCAGGTTTTTTCCTGATGATGAGTTCTGCCAGCATCATCTCCGAATTCCCACCGGACAGGATAGAAAACAAATTGCTAAGCTCCATGACCAAACCAGTCATTAATAACCAGGATGATGCACTGAGACTGCACAAACAGAAAACACAGCTCTTTTCTGCCACCCTGCAGTAGCTGGGAAGGGTGATGGGCGAGAAAGGGTTATTCTTATTTATCCTTTATCTGGAGCAGCCTTGCTCAGCAGAACAGCTCCGGGTTTGTCAGTCAGCACGGACTGCAGGACTGGCAGTGCAGAACTGAGATGACCAAGAAGCAGTGACAGCACTTTGAAGTGACAAAGGACCCTTTCTTCAAAGCCCGTGTGCCACTTGCACTGAGGTTACAGCAGCAGAACACTCCCAGAGCCGCCTGCATCCGCGTAGGATGGGACCACGGGCACCAGTGTGGGACCTTCCCACCCTCAGCATCAAGAGTCCAGGGAGATGCAATAAATTCAGATGGCCACGAAGTCTCATCTCGTTGGCACTCCCAACTGGCCACCAGCACTCAGGCGGCGGCCATCCTGGTGGGAAAGTCTGATCCAGGGATGAACAGTAAATGAAGGACTGATGGAAGGAGAACAATGACACGTGTCTTAGAACCTGAAGATGAACAAAACTGCTGTAGCCTCCTTGGTTGCCAGCCAGTGCAAAAACACATCCAGAAAAAAAAACCTGCCAGTTTTTCCGATGTAGCATTTGTGTGTTACAAGACCTTACACACGAACATAACTGTAAGAACTGCAGAAGCCCACAGAAACTAAATCCATCCCCGCCTCCTGTCTCCTGGATTTAATCTCTGTTGATAAACACGCGCATGCGATAGTACTACTTCAAACATGGAACATCTAATTCTCTCCTTTCGCACTATGCCATCTGCCAAAGCTGCTCTTGAGCTGCCACATTCTACCCATCTCCCCAGCACACGATCCCGTACCACGGCATGAGAGCAGGCTTCGCTAAAACGCTCTCATTTTCAAGGGTTTCACTACGCTTTTGACCTCAACAGTTTTAAAATAGACACTAATCTCTCTCAGGCTGTGTTTTTAATCTTAATGTTATTTTTGCAAGCAAATATTAGCTTTAAATAGTGATGTGTTATTTTCTCAGCCAGATGGTAATTCAATACTGTTTCTGAACGGCACCAGGACTCTGCTTTGAAAAAGCATGTATTCATAGGAAGGAAAAGCTCTACAGGAGGTGGTCGTGCCGGTGACTGGTTAAGCTTATCTCAAATAGCAAAACACTACTGCAATACAGTAAATTACTAGGACAACCTCATGACTGGGATCATCAGGATCAGCGATGACATTAGCAGCAAACCTTCCCTGTCACCTCCTGTTTTCTGTAACCCTTAACAGATGCCTGGTGGATTTATGCTCTCTCCCGTCACCTCCTGCAGCAGCAGAGCACTCAGAAGAGCTGGTACACACCAAATGCGGAGAGGCTCGTTAGCCGAGGCAAATGTGTACAGACATAAAACTCTCTCACACATCTGTTACCCAAAGTGAAAGGCTCTCCAACAGAACGGTGTTAGCAGAGCTGGCGGAAACACCATTTCCAGTTTTCAGAAAAGCTTCCTCAAAAAACTGCTTTCAGTTCAAACCTACCTACCACCAAGTTTTTGAAGTTTCTTGAGAACCAAAATCCCCAAACCACTTCGGAAACACAGAGAACTCCCTGGGTCCCACAGAGGCCCCAGCCACAGGCTGGAGAAGGTGGATTTTGCTCACAGCTGCGGGACCCAAGGTCAGGCAGCCTCACAGGGCAGCCACCCTGGCAGAGCTGGGCACCTGCAAAACTCTCCCAAGTCTTCTAGGAAGAACTCACATCTGGGCTCTGGCACAAGAACACAGAAATACTCTAAGCCCCAGCTAAAACTCAGAGCTCTGAGGGCTTCCACACCAGAAGTTTAATCCTTCTAGTCTCTGGCAACCCTTGGAGTATTGCAGATTAGAGGTTTCACAGCAGCGTGCCCCAAAATACTGTGATGCTAAAATCCAAGACAGCTCTAGAGCAAACAAAAATGCTATTCCAGAGGGCAGCCCTGGGAGCACAAAAACACTGCTCCAGATCGCAGCCCCGGGAGCACTGGTAGCCCTGTAGTGACTGATTTTTCCAGCAACACTGAGGAACACGTGGCTGCCTGGAACTAGAGTAAATGCTTACTGGGGCCAGGAGCCAAGAAACCTGATTGACCTGTACGTGGAGTTTCCACAGGTATGCCAGGATACAGGTTTTTCTCCTAATGGAAAACTGCAGAAGTTCTCCTCTGACTGAGCCATAAAAATGAAGAGGCAATAGAAGACTGACTACCTGCAACAAGAAGGTAAGATGCAATTTCTGGCCTCAAAACAGCACATTACTCACTCCAGTAAAATAAACTGATTATATCTGACACACTATAATAATTCAGAAGCATTGCCTGGAAAAATACCGCCTGCAAGCTCAGTATGAGCACACACCTATTAAAAAAACCTCCCCTAAAACACCAAGCAATGCTGGAGGATAGAGTCAGACAGTCATTGCATAATGCCAACGCTGAGTCGCAGCTCAGGAATTCCACCTGCCCAAGGGAGAAGCCACCAGCAGCCGGGCTCCAGGCACAGGGGAGCAGTGAGGAGGCCATCGATCCATACCCTGCTACAGCCAGCCCACGGAACCAACACTTCAGCTACAGTCTCAGAAGATGCAGCTTTTTGAAAGAGAGAGAGAGAAGAGAGTTTTATCTGCAGCCTGAGAAGATCAATGGCAAAACCAAGAAGTGCCGCATCTAGAGAAAAGGACCAAACCAAGTTCCATGAAACACAAGGCTGAACATTGGATTAGTATCGAACCGGTCACTAAAAAGGCAATCAAAATATCTCAACAAATCCAGAAATCCAGGAATAGACATTTCTGCTGCAACTAAAGGGCTCAAGTGATAGTAATGAATCAGCAAGTACCTGTCAGAAAAGTACAGAGAGTTTCTCAAAACCAGCTTTATCGGATGCAGGGGATCACGTTGCTTTTGGCCAACCTGAAACAGCCATGAACTCTTGCCCAAAGCACAAAGCCCACGCCCACCACTACTGGACAAGTGATTTTTTCATTTTTAGACAGTTTTAAAGGCAACTCACTAGAACCTGGATTCCTTCTTTTTCGATTGGAGCTTTATCATAAGTGGCATCGCAAACTCGCACCAAGGTTCTCACTCCGTACTTCTTCAGCTCCTTTAAGAGAAAGGAAAACACATGAGCACACTGACAGCGTGAGGAATTAAAGGACTTTCTCATCAGCTACAGAACTAAACGTTTTACACGGGGTCAGCAGTACCGTGACTATTGCACAGCTCCGAGGTGACGACACAAGGAAGGAGCAAGGGCCAACACAGAAAGCAGGGTTTATGGCCTATATTAGGACAAGGGTTACACGTGACAGGAGCTTTGAATTCTTCCTCTCTAGGGAAATGTCAAGGTGGAAAAAAAATCGCACGTATCAGAGCAAAATTAAAATAGCTGCTTATATTCTCCATGCAGCTTCTTCTTCTCTTTAAATAGAAGCCTGGAACTGTTTGCTTGAGCCAGTGTTGACATTTTGAGGCAGGGAGGAACAGAACACACACACCACCATACTCCAGCTTCCTTGTAATGCACTATAAGTAGCATATTGTGCTAGATAAATAATCAGAAGATCAAACAAAAGCGGTTCCAGTTCACTTTGAAGGTTCATACAGCAAGCAGAATTTCCTCTCATGGTTGGACAAAATCACTATAACTTCAAACAATTAGCAATAATATATACTCCTGGAAAAGGAAGACAATCCACAACAACGGAGAAAAAAAAATATATTTATAAAGACAAAAAGAACATGGCTTTCAGACAAGATTAACCACTAATATCGAAGAGATTCACGGTGAAGAGCACACTGCTGAATGATGGAAGTCTGTTAATAGCCCCAAGTCAGACATCAGTATCAGATGACAGGATCTCTTAGGAATGGAAAAGACCTGCACATGCACGATAAAAAGTCCTCTAGATATAAGGGCACAAAGATAGAGCAGGTTCGGAGCAAACCAGGATACAGAAATACAGTGTACTAAAACTTCTCTAATGATACCATCTGCTACTTTTTCAGAAAGCTGAATATTAAACTTGGCAGCATTTAAGATGTTATTGTATCAGTAATGGTCTGAGCCACTGCACATAGTAACTGGCTCAGCCCATAGTTAATCCAGGCAGACGTCATTTTTCATGGATAAATTCCGGCACCTGAAATCTCTGACAATTCTGGGATTGATAAGGCAGTTTGAGAACACACCCTGTAAGCTAAACCATCAGTTTAAGTATTGCACTTAATCCTACTCTAAGGGAGAAGAAAGGTCAGAAACCAGTTACATTTCTATTAACTACTTCTTTTAAAGCCAGATGATGAGCAATAGATCAATATATTAAAAGCGCTGAATTATTCAATGAAAAATAACATTTAGCATGGCAGAACGTGCTGTCCTGCAGAAACCAGGCCCAGAACGATGGCAAGGGCCTGTGTTTGTGCTCTAAAATGGAAGCTCATCCAGCCTCTGACAATGAAAGAAATGCAGGACTTTGGAAAGTAATCAGTGGATTCTCTTCTCATGCTGCCAAGAGAATATAATCAATATATTAACAATAAAATGCATTAAATTTCAAGTAACATACATTGAGAAACAGGTGTGAAGAATGACTCTTTGGTGCTTCTGCAGAAACTATGAGCAAAAAAGGCAGGAAGGATGACCCTTCGTGTGAGTGCCTTACCTCGATGAACTTGCTGAGGGTTGCATTGGTTGGGTTGTGAGTGATCAGGAAACGCATATTCTCGTAAGTAATTTCCACGGGGGCTGGACGGTTCATAATGGCAAAAAAAATGTGTATGGGGCCAAAAAAAAATTTAAAAAAAAAAAAGAAAATCAATAACCTTGGAAACGTTTCACAGCAGAACACATTAAAAAGACCACTAAAATGCCTGGGATTGATCAGAGCTTGCTTTGACGTGTTTGTTCCTTAAAGAATTCGCTTCTAGAAAAGCAGGTTTGCTTCAGAATCCACTTGAATTCAACTTCGGCCTCAATTACTGCAGCTGGTATCCTTCAGACTCCACAAATTCTGACTACATGCAAGACTAGGCAGCCTGTTCTACATTTAGGCACTGGTGAGGCAAAAAAGTAAGGGCAGATTTTCTCTCCACTTTGTTTTCTTGATGCTTAGTTTTGCTAGAGTCAGTAAGAGGAATATGCTTCCAATGGGCAGAAGATATCCCATATATTTGAGTGTGTTCGCTGTGTCTGGAGTCTTCAAGGCAAAGTAATTATGGCACGTGGAACCCCCTGCTCTCAGCTCACTTGTCAGCCAGGATGCTGTGCTGGGCCTGGCAGAAGTCTGCCCTCACGCTCAGAATCGCCATAAATGTGCGACGTATATTCCAACGGGACACCTACGGAGAAGAGAAGTACCAGGTAAGAGGATTTGTCGCTTCTACTTCCAGAAACACCAAATATTCTAATCCCAAACACTGTCATCCCAAATATTCTAATCCCAAATATTCCTTCGGCACCGAGGATGCTCCAGCCCAGGGCCACAGGATTTCTGGTAACTGCGTGTTCCGGGCAGGCACAGGAACCGAGAACAAGGAAACCTTTCTGTGCTCTCTGCGGCCCCTCCCTCCCAACCAGGTGCCCTAAAAGAGGAGAAAAAGAGCACAAAGCCAAGTACATGCTTGAAAGTGGCTGTAGGTACATTCATACCTGCTTGGCTTAAGCCCAAATATGTAAAAAACAGTGTTGGCATGGCTTTATTTTCTGAAGAAAGTAAGCAATACAAGCAGAAATAAGAGTAGAAGTGCCATATATTTGAGCTTCTGCTAGCAGATAAATTTCACCAACTTTGTTCTATCACCAAACTCCCAACAGCAATAAGGAGATATCCTCCAGAAATAAGTCATTTCAAAAGCAACCAACTGGTCATTTAGCAGTAATAACTCTAGTTATTCTCAGCTTTATCTGTGTTTACAGACTGGGGCATTAAGACGGTGGCAGCTTCCAGTCCTACACACGGGATTCAAAATAGAGATGTTTTAGCAACAAGAATAAAAGATGGAAAATGTAACCCTGCCACGAAGCTTCGGGGGATGAAAATGGAGCTAACCTAAAGTAACGCAACTCATCTAAGGTTGAAATACTAATAAGCAACGTGGCTTTTCCCTACGTTTCAAAAGCACAAAGCCAAAGAATCATAACCGACACTTCTTTTTTAAGGAAAAAGTTTTAAATCAGTTGAATGAAATCCAAACTAGCAGCCAGAAGTCCCAAACCTGCAACTCAAGCGGAAAGGTCAGCGTGGCACACTCGAGTGAATATAATCAGGGAAAAAACACACACACATGGAAGTTCACACCCCAAACTTCTGGTGCCCTCAACATTTTAATGAGATCCTCACTTTAAAATAGTCAAATTAACTACTACAAAATTACCTTTTTCACTGACATGAAGTCAAAAATCACCCAAAGAACGGCAATTATATCCTTAAAGAACAGCTTTCAATGCCAAAAAAATACATTAATTAGGTTGCCAGAGGCAAGAACAAAGATGTTTTCAATAACCTCCCCCGACCTTATCGCAGTTCTTACTCTGAGTGACTGAAATACAAATTTCAAAAATGAATCCTGTAATATTTTATCAGTGTAATCACTGCAGGATTAAGTCTCACCCCAGATGGAAGAGTCCCATCTAAACACATCATACTCAAGTCCTTACACTTGTCAATTCTTGCACGTTTGTCACAACTCTCATATACACTACCCAATCTCAAAGCCAAGGATTTATTAAGATGAATTACAGTCTGCTATAGCTGTGATGTACCAGGAACAGAATATCCAAAGTTTCAGCATCCACATGTGTCCAACACCTGTAAAACTTAATGCAAGAAAGTCTTTTTCCAGGCAAATAATGGCCTGGTTTTCCCCCATTTGAACATACACTTCTGTCACCCAAATGTCCTGCAGACTCACATTACAGGGACAGTTTCAAAACTAACTTTTTAGGGCCTACCAAGGTCAGTGGTCAACAGATCTTGGCATAGGAGATCAAAACTTGGATCCAGAGTAGCAGAGGCTTACAGCATTACAAAGTACACTGTTGCAAAGGCAAGAGCTATTGTGTCATATTTAAACAAATCCTTTAAACGTTTTTCTTTGCAGCACCAATAATTTGGTTGGAAGAGCCTCATCCAGTGCTATTTGCACTATGAGTTTATCAGATCAGGTCATTATGGTTACACTTCTCCTCCCTCAAGCAAATCAAAGAGGGAATTTCAACCCAATTATGTTAAAAGTCTTTTGTAAAAACTATTTACCAAGTCATTATGAAAGGACATGGGAAGATGACATGTTGCAGTGAATTAAGTATGGCAGGGGAGTCACCAACTCAAGTCCTGCTCTCAGATCTGCAGCCGCTCGTGGTCTGACCTTGACCAAGCCACTTTCAGCAGCTCAACTCATCTGCAGAACAGGAATGACACCATCCTACCTTCCCCAAAGGAATATTACTGAAGCATTTAATTAGCTTGTAGCTAAGGAGTGATTAAAAATGTAAAGCACTGTATTTAAGTCTGAAAAATTATTTCCAGAAGGATAAGAAGTTTATGTAGCAGGCAATCCTATTTTTAAAAGTTTGGTTACTGACACGTATGTCCCTTACTCCCATGACTTTCAACTGCTAATTCTTAAAGTTTAAAAAAACACAGGCTTCCAAGTAAGAAAATAAAAAACAGGATAAACCCTGTTGTCCACAACTTCTGATCTCCCCAAATAAATACTTTAAAATTTCTTCCTCCCCGTGTTAGCAAGAAAATTTGCACTTCAAAATCCCAAGAGAACAGAGTGCTATCGAACTGACAACGATAAATCGTAGCCAGGTCTATGCACAACATAAAACAAGAAACCATTTTTTCAGCCAATTAACCTTCAACTTTTTATACTTAGAAGGTGAGATAGCACATGGAGAGGGACCAAAAAATTACTACATGCTTTATGTGGCTGGCCTCTGAAGGGGAACAGCAGTATCCAACACGTCAACGCTAGGAATGAGGTGCAAGAGCTCCATCAGGAACCAGGGGAGGAGAAAAAGCAGAGACAGAAGAACAAACGAGCCAAGCTACAGCCACTGAGCATCTGAAAAGAACTAGATATGCCTGGGAGTCAGTTCCTGATGGTGTTTAACTTAATTATCAGGGAATAATCATCAATCAAGATGCCTTATCTCCACAACCAAGTTTAGTGAGCTGTGACAGTCTCTGCAGTACAGACAGGACTAATTTAAGTTATAACTAACAGCAGTGGGAGCTCCTCACCTCTCACACTCACACAGCCAGACAGGCCCAGAGCTTGATAAAGCCTAATGAGGCCAATTTGAGAAGAATGTCTTTCTAAATGCCATGAACGTGCAAGAATATGCTTAAAATGTAAGCAAGGGGCAGTCCTATTAACTAGCACAAATAAATCAAGGTGATTAACTAATTAAGAGAGAACAGTTAAATGAATTCCTGACTTGCCAGAAACTTCAGATCGCCTTAAATACAAACCTAACAACACACCTACAATACCCACCTCCAGTGGCTGCCTCGTCTATCATGGCATTGACTCCTAAATTAGATACTTCAATAGGGCCAGTCACATGCCAAGTTCAGGGAGACAGGGCTAATGAAAAACAAGTAATAACATCGTAAGGAATTCCTCGTTCCACCGTCTCCTTCAAAACACACCGGTAAAAGTGCTGCTGTAGCTACAGGGAGACGGGGGAAACAGCTTGTAACAGCTGCAGCTTCCAGAGATTGCAAAACACGGATACCTTTGGAAAGGTCACCTGGATCACCTTTCAAAATAAGCCAGCACACAGGATGCAGAGCAAAGCCCGCTAATTTGTCGGTCAGTATTAAAAGAATACTTCAATGTTTCGCAGACCAGCATTTTGAAACCATCTCAACTCATTTTGTTCCTGTAAGTGGGAATCCACGTTCGATGTCAGCAAAGTCAGGTCACGAGCTGCTGAATTTTTCCTCTTCTATAAAACCTCATTCTTGCGGTTTCCACTTACACACGTACACGTGGAGCCGGCACCTTGGCGCGCTGTTGGTTCACAACCTGATCCCATAAAAACTGCCATCCTGATGCTGTGCTGCAGCCCAGCCAGGCTCTGACTACCACACTCTGACTGCATTACACTTCCCTTCCCCTTCCTGTGTCACCTCATGAAGTGACCCACGCTCCATCCATGCACCATCAAAACCTCCTGCTGCTTCTGAAGCACAAAGTGCTTTTCAAGTGACAGAATTCACCGAGACCTCCAAAAATGAGCCTTAAAAGAGTGGAAACACTCATTAGCAAGAACAAGAGCAACAGTCTTTACTAAACTATATTCTCCCAGCGCACAGAGAAAAGAAACTCTGGAACGAACATTCTTGGAAAAAAATTCTTGAGCGCTGTCTGAAAGCAGCTTGCTCAGAACGACACGTGCCTAGAGAGGGGTGAGGTCAAAAATTGTACTGTTCCACCCTATCCACCCCCGCGGCGGAGCTCCCTCCCAGCCCCTGACAAGTTCTGCGGGTGACTCATTCGTTTCCTTTTGCACTAACCCAGTCGCTCCGCGTCCCGGGCCGTAAACGCCACGGCAGCAGATAGAGATCTGCCTTCGCAAGAGAGAGAGAGAGAGAGAAAAAAAAGTCCAGATTAAAAAAGTCTCGACTTAAAAGTGACACATCAGGAAACAGTAAGAACTGTCAGATGTACCATGCAAGATTACTCAGTGAGAGAACAACCCTGCAGCAGAACTCAGAAGTGAGTATTGTGCGGAAAAAGCGGAGCTGCCATCCCTAACTGTGGGTGAGGTCACACGGCCGTGTCCCACAGAGGCAGCGACGCACAGACCATCGTGCTGGGGAGCGCGGCCCTGGAGAGCGATTACAGACTGCATCAGCTCCTTCTGAAAGAACCGACAGGCGTGCATGCTTCAGAGCTTTTCTTTCCTATGAAATGCAACCTGCTTCACAGTTAAAAATGCTAAAACGCTGTTATGACACAGGATTTTTGAACATCTTCCCCACCCACCACTTAGTTTTTAAAATCCCTTCAGAGGCCACATTTGAATGTTATTTACATACCATGCCCAAAAAGTTTAAAGTTACTAAAAGTGTTTGAAGTCAAAACCAAAAGGCCCTGCTATGAAGAATTTAAGCTATTACCCTGTTTAAGTCACAGAACTATGTTTAAGTAAACTCAACAGTTTCTTCAGCCAACAGTTCATGAGTATGTGACACTAACAACTCATTCCTAAAAAATCAGAATGCTGAGTCGTCTGAGCTGTATGAACTGCTGGGTTTTGAAAACCCAGTCCTGCTACATCATCAGCTTCCCCAGCAACTCAGACTAAATATTCTCACAAT